TATTGGCCTTGAAAACATTTTCAAATATATTTATTCATTGTTAATTTAGAATCAACCTCAATATAAATACATACATTTATTCCTGTGAGCCATAGGAAAAAACCTCAATTATGTTTTTCAGGTTCCTCAGGCTTAAATGTCCCTGCCCAAAATAGTCAATAGTATGTCCCCACGACTTGCATATTATCCTCAAAAGGTGTGGCTAACAATCAGGGCAGGACCTCGGAGAAAGGGGATATTGGCCAAGTCATTCCCAGTCTAAACAAAATTGAAAAAGTATGCATGCCACATGGGTATTGAAAATGAACTTTAAAAATCTGCTGGACTAAATATGCATGTATAAAACAATCCAGTGTTTGTGTTGTGCCTAAAAATGTTTGATTTCCACTGACATTATATCTAGACCTGCTTACTATTTTTCCACTGCTATCTCTTACCTGCTGCAGAATCCACTAAAGTACATGATTCTATTCAGAAGAATAAGGGTTGGGGGGAGTAATTTTAAAAACCTAAAAGAACCCCAAGGAACACAGATAGAGGATATTTCCCCTCAGAGGATGGGGGAGAGGTTGGTCTTCTGCCTTAAATTCAAGTGTACAGAAAGCATCATAAAGCTTAAGCAAGAATTGATGGTAAGTTTTTCTAATGGCCACTGACAGAAGCCATTTTCTGAAAGTTTTCCTGAAAGTATGGATTACTAGCAAAGCTCCATTTAAGAGATTTTTTTTTTGCAGTTTTCATGTTCAATTAAATAATGTTCTTCCCTTCTGTCTAAATATATATGGTATATGAATATATATATTATATAAGATATATTAATTCAAAAGTATATATTTTTTCTTTCCTCTAATGTAAAAGGTTCAGCATCTTGAAAGATACCATCTTTAGTGTATAAGTAACTGAGGGTTTTCATTAATGGTCAATTTTATTTAAAGGTCTCACATAATTTATATAATCTACACTAAAATGTATTATTAGAGCTAGGTTATAGCATATGTTCTTGGTATAATATATAGAAAAGAAAAAATTCTGGACAATTAAAACTATCCTCAAGGATATAAAACAAAAGGGCTTTTTCAAATATACTTAGAAAAAAATCACAAAGGAAAGTTAAGATTTTGTAAAACTATTTAATAAAACATTCGAATACGGCTGTGTCAAACTCAGTAAGTTTCATATTCCTATGACTTGTTTCCCTAACCTCCTAAAAAATACCCTGTTATACATAAAACGGAGCATTTAGTAAAATACATAGCATACCAGCACATCAAACTTACAGAAACTCTGGCATCCATTTACCATACAACTACCAGAAACTGTAATTTCATCAAATACCACATCATATTTGAAATAATCATTAAACTTACCCACATTAAAAAACTATATTCAAAGATAACCTGGCAAAAATGACTTATTTAAACACAGTATAATCTTATTTTAAGAAAACATAAATTCATAGTAATAACAGCAAATCACAAAATAAATAAACTGAGCATTAGAATTCACAAATTAGTATCTTTAGCTCATTTGAATTAATCAAATACTAAATACTATATTGAGCAAGAGATAACAATATCACTATAATAAGCTAAATCTAAACATGGAAAATAAGTCTAACATAAAAACAAGCAATACTTTTTTTTTTTTTTTTTTTGGTCTCTTAGCTGGCTCCCTGACTGCAACTATTTTTTCCCAGTACATAGATATTTTGGAAAAAGAAGCTCGAACACAATTAAATAATAAATTTCAACATTTTCTGTACTTTTTCTTCTCCCAAAATCACCATGTTTCCATTAGCTTCCTAGTAAATCCTACAAAGACTTCAGTCATTTTATCCATCACCATCTCTCTCTGAGCTTCAAATATAGCTAGAAAAAAAGAAAAGTTCAAAGCAGTTGGAAAAGCAGCAAGTTCCTGAAGAATGCCAGTTTTTTTTTTTTTTTTTTTTTTTTTCTTCCTAAAAAGTCAACAGGTCAAAATTACTCACAGCTGGATGCAAGGGTCTTCAGAAAATAAAAGGATGGTTTCCCTGCCTCAATCAGCAGACTTAAAATGCTCCCAATCCACAGTGGGATAGATGAGGCCCTCGAGGGTCAGATAATCAATCACTTCCTTGATGGCCTGGATGCTAAGGTCGCAGAGCTGAGCCTGGAGCTCATGGATGCTCCTCCCTTCCAGACTAGGGCACTCGTGAATCAAACGCAGCACTTCGCACCGGATGAAATTGCGGCGACTCTCATCATCATCCCCAGCATCATCCACTTCTGATGCAGACACAGGCACACTTTCTACAGCGGTATCACCACAGGCTTTATCCAGCATCATGTGTGCATTGACCGATTCCAGAATATGCACGGTGAATTCATTCATGTCCTCGAGGACATGAATTTTCAATACTTCAAGGATCTTCGTTCCCGCGGGACATTTGAGGATACCAAACACTTTGACATACAGTCCGACTGACAGTGGAGTCAGCTGCTTGACTTTCTCTCTACCAAACCACTGTCGGGTCTCGATTGGCTTCGCGGTCATATCATCAATTTTGTAACAAATGTGATTTGAAGCCTTCTCTGCCCCTCTGATTACCCCCACGATGGAGACCTGGGAAACTGTAATTCCCCTAACCTTGAACACAGTGTCCAACACAGTAGAGCTGAGCAGCTGGTTCACATTACACGGTACGATGTCCTGGATTCGGACCCTAGGTCTTTGGGTCTTAATAGCAGGAGCTGCACCTCTCTCAGATGGTTGGTCACTGCCTCCACTCGTTCCACCGTAAGCAGAAATGCTGCCATAGCTCCCAAACCCACTCTTACTCATCTTCAAGACAGCTCAGGCCAAGGAGAAGGTGGGCTTTGGCTCGTCTGGGGCTCCGCTGAAGGCTTGGACCTCTCCACAGAAGGCTCCGAGCTCTCCACAGAAGGCTCCGGTTGAATGCTGGGAACCTGATGACGTGACAAGCTTCACGCTACCTGTGGGACCAATCAGCTACCAGAATGCATCTGCTTCCAGCCAATCAGGGCTTGCCATCTTCTCACCTGATCTAATAATCCTTCCCTGTGTGCCAGTGATTGCTACATTCTAAAAGCACACACGAGGCGACCCCTGTTGCTTAGCTGGTCAAAGCGCCTGTCTAGTAAAAGTCCCATGTGTCTTTTAAAGCCAGCCTTTCTCACCATCTCTATCAAAATGCATTTTTACTAGTCCCCCCTCTTCATTTCTTAATGCTGCAACTTCTGCAATCACTTTTAAAAGACGCATTTATTCATTCAAACAACAATGCAACAGAAATTTTAGGAGCATAAAGTGCTTGGCACTATGGCAGAGTGCTGTACGTTATGTGCAGGGGGAAAAATGCACCACTGTGGTCACTGTTCTCAAGAACTCACGTCCCCTGTTCAAACCATTACTAGGAGTATTGGCTAGGCACAGTGGCTCAAGACTGTAATCTCAACACTTTGGGAGGCCATGGCAGGAGGATTATTTGAGGTCAGGAGTTGGAGACCAGCCTGTCAACATGGTGAAACCCCGTCTCTACTAAAAATACAAAAATTAGCCAGGCGTGGTGGTGCACACTTGTAATCCCAGCTACTAGGGAGGCTGAGGTAGGAGCACCATTTAAACCCAGGAGGTGGAGGTTGTGGTGAGCCGAGATCGTGCCACTGCACTGCACTCCAGCCTGGGTGGCAAATGAAACACCTTCCCCACCGCAAAAAAAAAAAAAAAAAAAAAAAGCTAGGCAATCGTCTTTCAACGATTATCATACTCTAAGATAAGTCACATCGTAACACTGGCTTTTAAAAAATTTTTTGTTATTTTAAAATTGCAATTTTCCAGCTATTTTGCCAAGTGCACTATACATAAGTAATTAGTATATTTCAATTTATACATAAATCCAAACTGAATGACTGAGTTCTAAATTATTTTCAAGGCTCTGTGGACAGCACGGAAAAGTACAAGACTTAGGCCTATTATATATAACGTAAAACATGGATAAAATCACAGTAAGTTTTCCATATGCTCTTACAGAGTAAATTCTGAACTTAAAATTCTAGCACTTGTATAAACAAATCACAGAGAAAAAAAAAATTTTTTTTTAAACAAGGTCTTGCTCTGTTTCTCAGGGCTCACTGCAACCTCCACTTCCCAAGCTCAGGTGATCCTCCCACCTCAGCCTCCTGAATACCTAGGACTACAGCCACACACCACCACGTCTGGCTGACTTTTTTGTATTTTTGGTAGAGATGAGGTTTCACCATGTTGGCCAGGCTGGTCTTGAACTCCTGGACTCAAGTGATCCACCTGCCTCAGCCTCCCAAAGTTCAGGGACTATAGGCCTGAGCCACCATATCCGGCCAAGAATGTTTTGATATTTCACTGAAATTTTGCTTTTCTTTATAAAACATTTTATGTTGGGTGTTACTGATTTAAAGTCTTTTATAATGGTTAATAAAGAAACTACAGTTATTGGAATCCACCATTGGCAAGTAACCTCCTCCTAACAATCCTCTGTAATTAGTTAATAGCCTAAATGAGGAGAGTTTTGAGGAGTTTATTAATGCTCTCATTTCTTTTATTGGTTAAATTATTTTTTCTTTTCTCAAAATTACAGAAATGTGTGAAGAATATATATAAAACATAGAAGAACATGAAGTTATACAGACCTTTCAAGTTTTAAAAGAATAAAATCATGGAGCAAACATACTTTATTGGCTTTATAAATAAATATATGATAATTAACTGAGCCCACAAATAGATTTTCATGTAAATGTGAATATTTAACTTCTGGCTCTATGTTAATATTTGTATTCTTAAAATTGTACATTACTAGAGATCCAATTAACTAGAGGTATTTTTTAATGTTTACAACTTCACAATCATATTCGGCTGTTTTATTAACATCAGACTTTTAGTCAGAAAATCTTGAGGTTTAAATAACAAAACTTGTTATATTCCCAAACAATTATATGAATCATACCAAAATGATCAGAACAACCTACCTGACAGGATTGCTGGTTAAAGAAACCCTGAGGGATTCTAGGCAATTAAGAAGTTTCTCATCTGATATACCCGATCGTAATTCATGCACATATTCTTGTGAAGACAGAGTGCATTCATGTTTGCTGTTTTTCAGCCCACCCTATAAAATAAACAAAGATACCATTTTAGACAATGTTTTAAAAATTTTTAAGTAAAATAGTGTATCGCATATTTTATTACATAAAAATGTGTGCCAAGTGCTACACATTAAAAATTATTGATCACAGAATTGATGTGGTAAAATTGTGTTGTCTGTAACTCGACATTTTCCTCAACCTAATTTAAAAAAAAAATTACAGTGCTGGTGCTCATGACCTGAATAGGATATGAACTTGAATTACATAAAGTGTCATTGACAGGAGTGCTTAAATTTACAATTCAGGCATTAGAATTAATATTAGCTGGTCCTCCTTAACCCAGAGGATAAGCATTCAAAAATCATCTTATTAATTTTCCTAGTTATGTATATTCTATTCCACAAAATCCAGCAAATAAAATGTAATATATATCATTATACATAATCCAAATCTATTAAGATATCAAAAGATCAGTCTTTCTAAAAAAATAACTGAAAAGTTATTAAAATGTAAAACAATATAGCCTCCAATTAGCATGTTAATTAATCAAATCAGTCGAAAGCATTCACCAGTTCCCAATTATTCCTTTCTGTTACTCTCAGGTTGTAGATTAATCTTAAAAAGTCACTAAATACATTTATCTGATAGTGACTAGTTTTTAACTTAATTTCCAATATACATGGAGTTATTTCTAGAACTTATCTCATCACAGCTCCTTAACTTCATCATCTTGCTATAACTATATAAGCAGTTCGGAGAAAAGCTGGGAGAATAACATTGTCAACACATCCACTATACTAATATCTCATAGTTTCACATTCTAGACATACCTAATCATAACTGCCCCTTTCCTATACTATTAATGTATACCCCTGAATTAAGACTCCAGCTTGAGTCCCATTTTACAGGTTCATATAAATTACACTCAGTTTCTGCTAAGTATCTAAGGATACTTACCCATAAACAAAATAATATCATAAAGATATAATATCATAGGAAATAGTATAAGGAGATCATAAGGAACAGATTTTTTCCCCATTGGGTAGAGGTATTATCATTAGAGGATATGGCATTTAAAAAGAAAACAATGTTAATAATGAGAAATTAATTCCCTATGGTTTTACACTATTTGGGTTTTTATTGAGAATGCCTTCTCAATGTAGAAATTGTTAATCATTCTTAATTTCTGAATTTAAAAAACGCCATTAAATTCTAAAATTTTAAAGTGTGATAAAGACTTACAACATATAGGGGAACTCTATTCCCTTAGTGCTGTGGCAATATTATCATTACTATAGCACTTAGAATATTGTGGTAGAGGTCATTATTTGTGTCTGCCTCACTTCTACATTGGGAACTCCATCTATGACACATAACAGACACAGTTCATGAATTTAGTGAACCTCAATAAAAGTGTGCTGTTATTGAATCTCTCCATAATAACTGCAGAACAAGGAATACAATTTCATACTTTTAGCTCCCATATTTTGTATAATGGCCACTGACTTGATATTTCTTGCTTTGCTATGAGATACAGTAGATGTTAAAAATATACTGGATGGGCCGGGCATGGTGGCTTACGCCTGGAATCTCAGCACTTTGGGAGGCTGAGACAGGAGAATCACTTGAAGTTAGGGGTTCAAATCCAGCCTGGCCAACGTGGTGAAACTCTGTCTCTACTAAAAACATAAAAATTAGCCAGATGTGGTGGCATATGCCTATAATCCCAGCAACTTGGGAGGCTGAGACACGGGAATCGCTTGAACCCGGGAGGCGGAGGTTGCAGTGAGGTGAGATCCTGCCACAACACTCCAGCCTGAGCCACAGAGCAAGACTCTGTCTCCCTGCCAAATAAAAAAGTACACTGGAATCGTCATCACCTAAGAGGCATAGTAAGTAAAGCTATCACTGAGAGATCATGTCCACATTCCTGTAATTTCCTTACCCATCTATTATTTCACAAGGAATAACAGCAAGTAAATATTTAAAGCTTAACTTTGCAAATTCAAATTTATAGTTTTATTTTTGCATGGCCAACTCACTTTCTACAACAATACAAAGTTCATTACTAACAAGGGATCTATTTACTACATGTATCAGTCTGAAAGCTATGAGTAAAAGGAATTAAAATTTTCAAGTCTGTAGTCATATACTACTCAAAGTTATTTTTAAATTAATATATAAAAAGGCACTACTGATCTTTAACCCTGTTGAGAGACCTTTGAATTTTGCATTTTTCTCTCTGCCTTGAAGACCCTTACCCCAATCTTTCCATTGCTGGCGCCTATCATTTTAATCTCAATCCCACAGTCTTCTCCCCATCCCCTATTCTAGTTATCATTGCAACATCATTTTAAATATAATTTACAGTATTACCTCTATGAAAATTTATTTTGGTAATTTAGTTGTTTACTGCCTTCTACACTAAAACATACGCTCTTATAAAACAGGATTCTTATCTGCCTTATATCCTCAGATCTTAAGACAGTGTTTAAGGGCTCAATACATATTTCCTGAATGAACGGATAGATGGATGGGTGGGCGGATGGATGGATGGATGGATGGATGGAAAATAAACAAATGGGTGAATGAGTGATGAGTTTCAACATGCTGAAGATTCTAAGCTTAGCTTTGCTTCAGAATATTATAATTCTGAGACTTTCAGTTATAATATATTCAGAGATGCTGAATATAAAACAGGTAAACTGAGAAACTGTATGGCATGCTGAGGACAGCTCAGATTTCATGACCTGGTTTGAATGATGGCCCCAGTCATTTACCTTCTAGTAATCTTTGGGTGAGTAATTAACTAATCTCTGTAAGCCTGTTTGTTCATCCACAACAAAGGGGAAATAAAATACCTACCCTTCATGTTTGTTACGAGGATTAAGTAAGACAATGCAGTATAAAGGGCCTAAAACAAGTATTTCATATTGGGCATTTCATGGACACAGAATAAGCTACTCAGAAAACGTTGGTTCCCTTTTTCTAATTGATTCCCTACAGGATTAGTCTAATTGGGACATAAGGGCACTGCCGAAGTACTCCTTATGGATAATTGAGCCAGCCCATCACTTTGTGGCCCCCTCCCCACCCAAGTCTTAGAAACAAGCTTAAATTATATAATTCAGGATACTCTGTGATTATATGGAATGGAAGCAAAAAATCTACTGGAGCGTGACAGAGATTATACAACTTTATAGAACAAATGCCTTTTACCAAGCTTAGAAGGACTTTGAGATTTTAACATAAGTTCCTATTTGAAAATTATGAAAATATGACAGCAAGCTAAAGCTGGACTGGCCTTTAAAGATCAGTTCTTTTAATATCCTTATTACAAAAATGAGGAATCCAAGTAATTGCCTAAGGTCACATAGGCAAGAGAGTATGAGACTAAAGCAAATATTCTGGTCCTTGGATAGCTCCTTTCTCTACTATATACTACTTTTTCTCAATATTGAATAAAATGTTAAAGCAACAAGTATTTAATTCAGAAATCTCTATTACAAAATGTCAAGGTATCAAAGTGCCTTCAGCATAATCAACACGGTGCAAGATAATATTTTAAAAATCACCTAAAAACAAAACAGTGCAATACATTAATTCTTGCAATGCTTAATAGGGCTGTAATACAAGAATGGCTTATTAATATCCTGTTCTGATACTGAACAAAGGAAACAACTAGATAATGGATGGGTAATAATGGAAATTTTAATTAGCTGCTCTGTATGAGATTAATGAAAATTACCACTGTGCCCATTTGATATTTAAAAAATAATGCAGACAAAGTTAGCAATTAGCGTACATCACGCTATTCCAAACCTAGGTGAACGAAGCTTTCCTAATTTGAAGCCATTTCTTAATTTGAAAATCAATAGGATGGAGATACTAGTCAATGTGACTGCTTATATTATTGTAAGACAGCACACAAAGAATCAAAAGGTAGTTTGGGTTAGTTTAACAATCACAGATTCCCCTTGCTCTGACATGAAATGTTATAATCAACAGCAGAGAAACAATATTCTAAGAAAGAACACTTTTAGTGTGCAGTGGAGATAAGTACTTCTGAGTTTAGATGGACTTAGTCTGAGCATGATCTGTCATTCTTTAATGTAAAAACAGATTTACTTATAATTTGAGAAAAGGGTTCATAGTTCTTAGCTGTAAAGGTATCTTGCTGCAGACACTGGATAGAACTATTGATTGTACATGGGTCTTTTCAGCTACATGCACACAGAGAGCAATTATTATCGGGGTGTCATCTTCAAATAGGAAGGACAATATTTTCAAGAAAACAGTAATTTTCTAAGTGTTATTGACTATGATTTATAAATCCTAATGATGAAGTCCATTTCTTTGGCTATTTTAATCAAATGAGTTTCTTATCTATCATTGTGTTCTCTGAAAATACAATGCTATAGATTAATATATTTGGGATTATATCCTCAAACGTTCACAGTGTTTTTCTTGGAGAGGCTCCCGTAGCTTTCGAATCATAAGAAATCAAAAAGCTATTTTCATCATCATCAGTTCTTTGAGTACAAGGAGGAAAAGGGAAACACAAAATGAGGGCCCTATCCAAGTGAATCTACTTATTTATTCTGATAGCAATGTATTTGGTGGAATAGAGAATGCTATATATTGCAGAACCTTTAGATGGCTTCCCTCCATTTATGTAAGAAAGCCGTCTCTTACTGGGAGAGTTTTAAAGTAATTTATGTACCAAAAAATATCTTAAAATCAATTTCTATTATAATAAAATAATTAATATGCAATTTGCATCAAATTTTTTTTTTTTTTTTTTTTTTGAGATGGAGTTTCGCTCTTGTTACCCAGGCTGGAGTGCAATGGCGCGATCTCGGCTCACCGCAACCTCCGTCTCCTGGGTTCAGGCAATTCTCCTGCCTCAGCCTCCTGAGTAGCTGGGATTACAGGCACACGCCACCATGCCCAGCTAATTTTTTGTATTTTTAGTAGAGACGGGGTTTCACCATGTTGACCAGGATGGTCTCGATCTCTTGAC